GTCCCTTTCCGGGGTTCATATCTGGGTAGGGGGGGTGCTCTAAAGTAAGACTAACTGGGTTCCAATCCTGGCCTTTTCATTTCCCAGTTGTATAAAATCAGGTAAGTTAATAGCATCCGCGGGCCTTAGCTCTTTTGTCTCTAAAGTGGCAGTGATGTAGGCTTTTATCTCACAAAATTATAATCAAGATCAAAGGAACCTGCTCTGTGGACTGAGTATCTGTGTCCCTCTAAAATTCAAATGTTGAAACTCTAATCCCCAGTGGGATGGTATTTGGAGATGGGGCCTTTGGGAAGGAACGCGGTCACAAGGGCGGAGCCGTCGTGAAGGGGATTCGGACCCTTATACGGAGAGACATTGAATAACTCGCTTCCTGTTCTTCTGGGTCGTGTGAAGATATAACAAGACGACCTATGTATGAGCCAGGGCATGACTCCTCCCCAGACACCAGCTCTACCAACACTCTGACCTTGGACTTCCCAGCCTCCAGGACTATGACAAATAAATATGTGTTGTTTAAACCACCCTGTCTATGGTAGTTTTGGGATAGCAGGGTTTGTCTGGGGAGACTGGCCGTCCAGCGTACAAATGGGTGGAAAAGTTCAGTCTGTGGGGGAAAGAAATAGGAAGGCCTTATTTGGCCACAGGTCCAAGCCTTGTTCTCCAAGCAGCACTACTAACCATAAAGCTGATATTATTTCTACCTGACATCTGGGTCTATTTCTAAATTGGTTCAGAACTCAGAAGGGAAAAGAGATATAATTAATTATCAACCATGTGATTAATTTTCACCTTCATAAACCCCAACAGATAGACGTCTATTTTATTTCACTGGCAGACAAACCCATTTCAGGCCAGCAGGAAAAGGATATTTTGCAAAATCAAATGAGGTTACAGCTGTGAGTGACCTTAAAGATGATCCGGGCCAGTATCTTCATTTTTGTGGATGAAAAGATAACACAAATGAATGGGTCAAGTGACATAATCCATGTGAAATTCTGTGGAAGATCAGAATGCAAATTATTCACATGATCAGTCGTTTGGGGAGTGGTCTTAAGAAGCCGTAAACCCCAGAATTAAAAACAGATCATAGATAACACAGAAAATAGATTGTAGATGAAAACTAAGCAACTCCAGAGGGAGAGAAATTTTCCTAAGCAAAAGTATTACCTCCAGGAAACATCTTCAAACCACAAAGCAATCAATAGTTTAGAGGTGATTATTTTTTTTTTTCAATTAGCAAAAAATCCCTATCTTAGGTCAATAAGATTGCTTGCCCACTCTCTTGAATACGAGATGGAGAGTCAAAAGAAATAAGCTTCCCCCCTCTCCCCTAATCCTGTCCACCTGCCATAATCAGGTCCTCTTTGTTAGGGATGTTCACTTCCTATCTATTAACCAGGCAGGACCCCACTGGCAAAGCAAGGGTGACGGGCACCTCAGGACATATGACAAGACATCTGAGACCCTGGGGCCAAACAGCCACCTCTGGTCTTATCACCCTCAATCATCAGAGTACACAGTTTTGCCTTTTAGAAAGCAAGTGGCCCTGGGTAAGTTGGAGAGAATTCACTGTACCGTGTCTCTTCCACTAAATACAGAAGTCATGGGACAGGTACTTGGAAGACTCTAAAATGTGTACAGTAGCAGGCAGACTGGGGAAGACCAGAATTCAAATACTGCCAAACCATATCCTCCATGATCTGAACTCAACACACCGGAAATAGGCACCAGGGCGCAGACAAAAGAGCTCCTGGGGACACCTAGTAGTTCTGGCTCCAACATCAAGAAAGGACGCTACAATCTCGAGTATGAAAATGCTCCGGTTTTCCCTTCCTCTTCTTTTTCCTTTTCCTCTTCTCTCTCCTCTCCTTCCTTTCTTTCCCTCCCCTTTCCTCTCTTCTGTGTTCCAGCCCCCAGCGATCTAGTGGTAGTGACTGCCTCAGGAGCCGAAACGATGAGGGCAGGCAACCTACCTCCGCATTCGACGCTGTCATTCCCAAAGGCTGAGACCACCAACGCCCCGCCAGCCGCCTTTCTTCTTTCTTTGTCTTCTCTCTGCTTGGCCAGCGTAGGCCAAGTCGTGGAAGCGCACGAAAGGGCGAGATTTTCAGCCCGAGACTGAGAAGTGGTCCCAGGGAATCAGAAAGCACCGGGAAATCAGGGAGAGGAAGGAGTTTGGCAAAGCAACTCCATAAAGTTTTCTTTCTCTGAATAAATTCCTGGGCTGGGCGCTGGGGTGGCTCAGTCAGTTAAGCACCTGACTCGTGATTTTGGCTGAGGTCATGAACTCATGGCTCGTGAGGTTGAGCCCCACGTCGGGCTCTGCATTGACAGTGCGGAGCCTGCTTGGGATTCTCTTCCCCGACCCACAGCCCCTACCCTGCTTGCTCTCTCTCTCTCTCTCTCTCTCTCTCAAAATAAATAAATAAAATTAATTTATAAAAAAATTTTAAAAAAAATTCCTGGGCTCACCCTCAATCTGTACATGCAGGAATCTGATCTTAATTAGCATACCAATACTTTGAGAACTCTCCCCAGGTGCCACACTGACCATCGGGTGACACACACACGCAGACCCAAAGAGCATTGCCAAAGGCTTTGAAAACCGAACTGACGTGAGAACCAGAGCCCTCAGAAGGCCAACTAGTGGTGTGGAACTCGCAGCCTGAACCTAACCAAGCTGAATGAACACGAAAACACAAATAACATTTTCCCTAGGCATTAAGCAAGAACCTAGAGTCTCTTAACATAAGATTCAGAATGCATAGAATGCTATCCACAATTCCGCGGCATATGAAGAATCAGGGAAGTTCCAATTCCTTGGAAAACGCAACCAACTGAAGCCAACCCAGCAATAACACGGATGTTAGAATGATCTGACAGAAACGATGGTAAAGACGCGCCAACCAGCGATCGTGAACACTGCTGAAACCAATGGGTAAGACAGAAAGCCTCAGGCAAGAAACAGATGCCATGAAACAAGAGCCAAATGGAAATTCTGGAATAACCAACGTAACATAAAAAGTACCAAAAACTCTGATGGGCTCAGTAGCAGAATACGACAGAAGAATGAAGGCCAGTGGCAGATCAGCTTTGAGCTGGGTGCCCATTTATCGCTACTTTCTCACGAATTTTCTCTCTGTTTTAATCAACTGGTGCTGCAGAAGAAGCCACATCACAATGTAGTGGATTAAACTGGAGACAATTTATCATTTCTCTCAATTCCACGGGAGGGCCAGGAAGCTTCTCTGCTGATCTTGCCTGGATGCATTCATGTTTCTGCATTCAGCTGGTGGCTAGACAGCAGGCCAAGGTGGCCCCACTCACAGGACTGGCAGTCAGTGCTGGCTGTTGACTGGAGGGCCTCAGTCCTCTTTTATGTGACCTTTCAACCCCCAGTAGGCTAGACCGGGCTTCTTCACTGAGTACAGTAATCTCAGGGTTCCAAGGGGGTAAGGCCAGGAGCCACAAGGCCCCTTAAGCCCTAGGCTCTTGACCTCTGTCATCGTCTTTGGTGAAAGCAGATCATACGAACAGCACAGAGATAAAAGTAAAACATTAGACTATCTCTTGATGAAAGGGAAAGCTATAGGACTTTGCAAATAGGCGTGGACACGAGGAGCCATGAGTCATTAGGATCATTATTTCAATGTTCTACCATACCCTTCCGGAGGAGCTAATACTGCAGATATCAGAGGCTGTGGTCTACAATTTACTGTGGCAGTAGAATCAATTGCGACGCTCAGAGAAGTTTAGTGTTTTGCCTAAGATCACACAGCTCGTTAGGGAGAAAACATAAAACTAAATCCTGGGACTGTTGATTCCACTGACCGGTCTTCATGCCTCCGAGATGGGCCATATGGTATTTTGAATGCTGCCTTTGTATTTAACAGGTAGGAGAATAATAATGGACAATACTTTCATAACGTGTTAGCAGTCATTCATCATTCAGATGCATTTTGTGAAGGAAATACGTGCAGGCACTTGTGGAGTCTATGAAAAAAAATCGAGGGACAGTGACTTCATAAGAGCTATTCATTAGGTAGGAATAGAGGTCCTAACCCATTCCATGCACCAAGAGATGGTCATTCAGTCTCTTGAGTTCCTGGCACTCGAAACTTAATTTCTTTATTGAGGTAAAACTCACATAACGTCAAAGGAACCATTACTCATTTTAAATTGTAAAATTCAGTGCCATCTGGCACATTCCCTGTGTTATGTAACTATTACCTGTCTCAAGTTTCCAGCCATTTCTATCACCGTAAAAAAAAACGCTGTACCCATTAAGCACCACTCCCCACCTCTCCCTTCCTCTGCCCCTGGCTCCCACGAGTCTGCCTCCTTTCTGATTTGCCTATTCTGGATGTTTCATGTAAATGGAATCATCTTTATGAGCTTCTGTCACTCATTTCACTCAGCAGGTTTTGTGGTTCACCCATGTTGATGCACGTATCAGCACTGCATTATTTTTGTGGATAAGGTAAATATGAACGATGCCCACAATATTCCGTTGTATGGACGTACCACATTTTGTTTTTCCATTCATCAGGTGATAGGCATTTGAGTTCTTTCCACTCTGGCTATTGTGAATCGTGTTGCTATAAACATTCATGTCCAGGGGCGCCTGGGTGGCGCAGTCGGTTAAGCGTCCAACTTCAGCCAGGTCACGATCTCACGGTCTGTGAGTTCGAGCCCCGCGTCGGACTGTGGGCTGATGGCTGAGAGCCTGGAGCCTGTTTCCGATTCTGTGTCTCCCTCTCTCTCTGCCCCTCCCCCGTTCATGCTCTGTCTCTCTCTGTCCCAAAAATAAAATAAACGTTGAAAAAAAAAATTCATGTCCAAATAGTTGTTTGAATGCCTGCTTTCAATTCTTTGGCGTGTATAATTAGGGGGTGGAATTGCTTCATACAATGGTTCTACCAAAGCTTAATTTTGATTCTCGTTTTTGACAAGCCTTCTTAAAATGGTCTGAGATAATAACATGCTGCTGGCATTACCTTGTCTCTAAAGTCAATGTGGTTCTGGAGGATGGCTCTGTGGTAAGTGGCTGTCCTTACAAAATCTTGCATCATGTTCTGCTGCTGGGAAATGCAGCCATAAAACTGTGGGGGAAAGACAAGGACAGGGACAGTCAACAACCCATAAGTCATCACGTTCATGCACATATGGTTCTGAGAGCCACCTTGGTCAAGGTAGGCTTAACCTAATACACAGGCAAGCTGAGGCTCTGAAAGACACAGTGACCTGTCCTTCTTAGCTCTGTTTGTAAGGTCTAGAACTGTAAGTGGACCCCAGACTTTCAGCAGCTGCTTCACGAGATAGATTCAGGCCTCGATGTTGGTCAGACAAGTTCCCAGGGTCCCTCCTCAAAGCAGAGGCTATGAGGGTCAAGAGTAACAGCAACAAGAGAGAGAAAGGCCAGAGCCCAAAGGGATGTCCCTAAAGAGTCTCATGAGCCAGGAGAGAAAAATAGGACTTGGACAGAGGTCTTGAGTGAGAGCGGGAAGAGAGCAGGAGGTAGTGACGATGATCATCCTGATCAGGCAAGCCAGCCCTCTAGCCCGCTCAGGTGTATCCGCAGGTGTGCATCACATGGAAACTCAGTTCCACCCGGAACAACTTTCCTGACCTGGAAATACTGCACGGCTGATGCCTCTTCTGTCCGCTGGCTGAACACCGAGGACTCCTTTTTCTCATTCCGGCAGCTTTGCAAGGTATTTGAAAATGAGCTGAGATCTGCAGGGGCAAAAAGCAGACCCGTTTCTACACGGAGGGAAGCACAGAATTCACCACTACGCTCTTTACAAAATTCTGGGAAAACAGTAGAGGATTCAAAGGGCAGACGGCACCTGGGTGGCTCAGTCAGTCAAGCATTCATCCAAGTCTTGATTTTGGCTCAGGTCGTGATCTCGCAGATCCTGGGTTTGAGCCCTGCATCGGGCTCCACGCTGGCAGTGCAGAGCCTGCTTGGGATTCTCTCTCTTTCCCTCTCCACCCTCCCTGGCTCATGCCCTCGCTCTTTCTCTCTCTCTCTCTCAAAATAAATAAACTTAAAAAAAAAAAGAAAGAAAGAAAGGGCACCTGGGTGGCTCAGTCAATTGAGCACCCAACTTCAGCTCAGGTCATGATCTCACGGTTCATGGGTTCGAGCCCCATGTCGGGCTCTGTGCTGACAGCTCAGAGCCTGGAGCCTGCTTCGGATTCTCTGTTTCCCTCTCTCTCTCTCTGCCCCTCCCCTGCTCACGCTCTGTCTCTCCCTCTCAGAAAAATAAATAAACATTAAAAAACTTAAAAAAAAAAAGAATATTCAAAGGGCATGTTCATCCCCAAACACACACATGATAAGGAACGGCAAGGTGGCTATGGGTGCCACTCTGAGATGTGACACCCTTACGTATACTTGTCACACATATTTGCATTCACCAATATCACATGAGAGAGCTTAATGGAACACATAGAGACTGGGCTCATGGGATCCTCCTCGTCCCACATTCACAAAGCTAAACAGGTTTATTCTAAGTAAGTCCTCTGGGGAAGGTGATTGTTGATGATAAGGAAAAAATATATATGTGAATACAAAATATGCATATAATGGATATATATACATATGTATATCTATATAATCTCATTCTATTGTAACAACAGCGTTCTTTTTCACATTTCTCTAGGTGTACAGAGAAAAAGGAAAATAACTGAAGATATGTGAATACAAGGCAAAGCTTTCTATTATTTGAGGAAAAAAATACATAAGTGAAGGCTCAAAAAAAATCCCCAAAGTGGTATCACTAATAGCTAACACAGCCTACAAGGTTGTCAAGTTTTGTGACTTTTGCCTTAGAAATGTCTTTGAGGGGCACCTGGGTGGCTAAGGTGGTAAAGCGTCTGACTTCAGCTCAGGTCAGGATCTCACGGTTTGTGGGTTCGAGTCCTGCCTCAGGCTCTCTGCTGTCAGCACCCGGCCCACTTTGGATCCTCTGTCCCCCCTGTCTCTTCCCCTTCCCCACTCTCAGTCTCTCTCAAAAATAAACACAAAATTTTTAAAATAATTTAAAATTTAAAAATTTTTCAAAAATAATGTTTAAAAATGCAAAAAAAATTTGCGTAATTACAAAATCAGTGTTCGAAAAGTGTAGAAAATTCACAAAATGCAACAAACCCAAATGAAGAAAATAAAAATAATCATCTCATAATGCAAGCTATTAATTACTGTTCACGTTTTGATGCATATTCTCTTGGGGTGTGTGTGTGTGTGTGTGTGTGTGTGTGTGTGTGTAAAAATTCCTCTTTGCACAATTTCATCCCATTATTTTATAAATACATCTTTTAATTTAAGATACTATTGGGGTACCTGGGTGGCTCAATTGTTTAAGTGTCTGACCTGATATGGTCTCAGGTCAGGATCTCACGGTTCGTGGGATCAAGACCCATGTCAGGCTCTGTGCTGACAGTGGAGCCTGCCTGGGATTTTCTCTTTCTCCCTCTCTCTCTGAAAATGAATAAATAAACATTAAAAAAAAAAAAAGAAGAAGAAAAAAGTACATGAATAACTTCCCGCATTTTTAAGTAGTCTCTTGACATGACTGTTAATGGATGTATGTTTCAGAGGGACATGCCATTTCCCTACAGTTGGACCCCAAGTCCCTACCCTGGTGTACAATTTTGGGATGACAGAGCCCAGCACCTGTATCTGTAACTCTGTCCCTGGTGACTCTGATGACAAGACATTCTTGAGAACTCCAGTTAACAGAACCTCCGTACAAAATAAGTATCCTAACTCTGTATTACAGTAAAAGAGACTCTAATTCTTTACAATTTCCTCCTACGTGGGCCATCAACAGACGAATCGGTATTTCTGTTCCCCCGTGACATTTACCTTTTGACTGTTTTCTTTTACAATTAAAAAAAAAAAAAAACCTCTGTAAATAATGTGATCATATGAAATTTAACAATTCAGAAAAGAAAGCCCAGAAGCAAAAAGAATTCCGAGGTATAACCACTAATAATATTTTGGGATGAAATCTCCCAGTAATTTTTTTCATATATTTTTATCTCTCTCTGTATTATTTACAATAGTACTGAACTCTCCTGCTTTACAACCTGTTTTTTTTCTTTTTTCCTTTTTTTTGAGAGTGCGTGAGCGCACGCCTGTGAGTGGGGAAGATACGGGGTAAGGGAGACGGAGAATTTCAAGCAGGCTCCATGCCCAGTGTGAGGCCGGACACGGGGCTCGATCCCATGGCCCTGAGATCATGACTTGAGCCAAAATCAAGAGTCGGATGCTTAACCAACTGAGCCACCCAGGCCTTCCTACAGCCTGCTTTTTCATGAACAATAGTTAGCTTTTTCTGGTCAGTACTTTTCATATAGAATCTCTCAACTACACATAAAGCTATAGAGCCCATTAATTACGGTTTCCTTTTGGTCTTGTTCTTCCGATTTGTTCCCAGAGGCAACAGTTTCACAGACTTAGGAGATCTTAATTTCAACAAGATTTCTAACCATGTTCCTTCAAATTTTGGACCTAATTATTTCCTTGTCAACTTCTACAGGGGGTCAAAAGTACCAACTCTATTCAACTACAATTTTCTATATTTGCATTTTATTCCTTTCAAAAGACATTGGGTACTATTTTGAAACTTCAAAAATGTTTTAAAACTTTGTTAGATAAAAGCTTGCAACAAACCAGGTATAAAAAGGGAACACACCTCAACACAGCAAAAGCCATACCTGACAGTCCTTCAGCTGACAGCATACTCAACAGTAAAACATTGAAAGCTTTTCCTCTAAGACTGGGAACGAGACAAGGATGCCCACTGTCGCCATTCCTTTTTAACAAAGTGTTAGAAGTCCTAGCCAGAGCAATTAGGCAATACAAGGAAATAAAAGGCATCCAAATTGGAAAAGGAGAAGCAAAATTGTCTCTATTTGCAGACAACATGATATTATCTATAGAAAACTCTAAAGACTCCACCAAAAAAAAACTGTTATCACCAATGAATTCTGTAAAGTTGCAGGATACAATATCAATATACAAAAATCAGCTGTGTTTCTAAACAGCAACAATGAACTACTAGAAAGCAATCCCACTTCAACCTGCATCAAAAAGAATAAAATATTTAGGAATAAACGGAATCAAGGAAGTGACACCAGCATCTACATGCTAAAATCTGTAAGACGTTGATGAAAAAAGTTGCAGATGACACAAATGAGGGGAAATATATCCTGTGCTCATAGTTTGGAAGAATTAATATGACGAAAATGTCCCACACTACCCAAAGCAATCTACTGATTCAGTGCCATCCTATCAAAATTCTGAGGGCATTTTTCACAGGAAAACAATCCTAAAATTTGTATGGAACCACAAAACCCTCAACAGCCAAAGCACTCTTGAGATAGAAGAACAAGGCTGGAGGCATCACACTTTCCGATTTCAAACTATATTACAAAGGTGTAGTAATTAAAACATTATGGCTTTGTCATAAAAACACACAGATGAATGGAACAGAAGAAAGAGCCCAGAGATAAACTCATGTTTATATACTCAACCAAATTACAACAAAGAAACGAAGAAGGTGTAATGGAGAAAGGATAGTCTCTGCAATAAATGATGCTGGGCAGAGTGGACATCCACACGCGCCTCTGGACATCCACTGGACCCCTTACACCATGCCCAATAGTCAACTCAAGATGGATTAAATTGTGGAACGTAAGATCTGAAACCATAAAGCTTCTAGAAGAAAATGGGGTAAACACTTCAACATTGGTCTTGGCAATGATGTTTTGAATTTGACACCAAAAGCAAAGGCAACAACAGGAAAAATAAAGAAGCAGGATGACATCAAAACTAAAAAGCTTCTGTGCCACAAAGGCAATACCAACAAAGCGAAAAGGCAACCTACAGGATGGGAGAAAATACTGGCAAATCACACATCTGATAAGGAGTTAATATCTAAAAAATATATAAAGAACTCACACAGCCCCAGAGTAGGAAAAAAACCTAATCAATCTGATTAAAAACTAGGCAATGGAATTGAACAGGCACTCTTCCAAAGGCATGCAGATGGCCATCAGACACGTGAAAAGACGCTTCATATCGCTCATCATCAGGTAATGCAAATCGAAACCACAGCGAGACATCACCTCCCACCTGTCAGAATGGCAGTCATCAAAAAGCAGAAGATAACAAGTGTTGGTGAGGATGTGGAGAGAAGGGAGCCCTCGTGCACTGTTGGCGGGAATGTAAACCGGTGCAGCCGCCACGGAAAACAGTAAGGAAATTCCTCAAGAAGTTAAAATAGAACTAACCATCTGATCCAGCAATCCCGCTTCTGGGTATATAACCCAAAAGGAAGTTAAATCATTATCTCAGCAATGTCTGCACTCCCATGTTCATTACAACGATATTCACAGTAGCTAAGACAGGGAACGAGCCTAAGTGTCTGTCAACAGATGAATGGATAAAGATGTGAGAAATACTTTATGTTAATATATATATGTATATTACATATTATATAATATCTGTTCCCCACAATGAAATATTATTCAGCCATGAGACAGAAGGAAATCCTGCCATTTGCGACCACATGGATAGAACTTGACAGCATTATGCTAAATGAAGTAAGACAGAGGAAGACAAATATAGCACGTTATCGCTTACACGTGGAATCTTCTTTTAAAAAGTCAAGCTCCTAGAAAGAAAGAGAGAGTAGAAAAGTGGTTGCCAGGAGCTGTGGGGC